TTTCCGCAGCCCGGTAAGGAGCACGAACTAAATACGGAAGATTCACGGTTTACCAATGATTCCCTCCGGAGCTTCGCCCACTCGTCCTCATTCACCCGTTGATATGCTGTGATTTTTTTATATGGCCAGTTGGTAGTTTGCGCCCTTCCTTATGTCTGTCTCTTTCTGTGTGTTGTGTATAGTTGCGCCCTCACGATGTTTAAGAGTATAAAAGGAGCATGGTCGTAGTAGTAGTAGAAGTAGTGGTAGTAGTAGTAGTAGTAGTAGTAGTACACGACTCGTAGCGGCTACTGCTGCTATATCGTAGTGTGAGTGCAGTAAATGAGTGTCCCGTCTTCTCATCTCTATGGTGTATCATAATCAGTGGCCTGATAGACAGTGCTCGTTGTGAACATTATGATAAAAAAGAATGATCAGTAACGTTCTCGCCTACATCGCTATTATCTAAAGAAAAACTACTTATAAACCATGCAAACATGCGCCGAAGATATGATTACGTATGCATTCATGCGAATATATTAGTATGCTCGTAGTGCAGTCATGTGACCTGAAAACGCACCTGGTTAGGGTTCGGGTGGTTGGATTTCCAGTCGGAGGTGACGTTCTTGTTTCCATTGTACTTTGTGAATGGCGTGTGCTGCACCGATGGTCTGATGCGGTACAGCCAGCTGCAAGTATAGGTGATTAGCATTAGAGGCATAGTGGTTAGAGCATATATATATATATATATATATATATATATATGCGCGAAGCAAATATTGCTCCTCAGTCAGTATCATGCCGGAACCATTATGTGAAAGTCGTCGTGAAGCATTTGCATTCAGCGTATTCCGGTCTGCAGCGATTGCGAAGTCGTATGCTCTCAAGCTGCAAACAGTGAGCACGCGGGCTGTTAGTGTTCGAGCGGGGGGATTTACTGCGCATGAGTGCTCATGGCTACACTCGGTCCACTGGCTGCCGCGATGGCAGCGCCACTTTTCACCGTGCTATTTCGTTTACGTCGTAACTTAAGCAGCACAGAATTGAGCGGGGCTGAATATTTATTCACATACTTGAGTTTCGAGGACTGGCGTGCACGAGAATAACTACGCGACCACGTTGAATAAAGTGATCGACTACATATTCAGTCCAGCTTCAAGGCCCTTCTGCTAGGCTGCGCAGCAAACTTTTTTTGACAACTTAAAGCATGATATAAAAATATAAACCCTAGTCACAGTGCGAAAAGAATGCTACAGTATGTCATTACATTTTGTGCTCTTTTAATTTCTACTACGATCTAATAGCACGTTCTGGCCAGCTTCCGGTCCCCTTAAAGCGCTTTGTCTCGACCTGACAAGCCCGGTTGAAGGCAGACAAGAACAGAGGGCACAGGAAAGAAGCTATATATAGTTCAATGTGCGTGATGACCTTGAGCACTCTTCACGAAACGAAATCGCCCTCTCCCGTTGCGATTTTTGTGCGTGTGCATGACTCACTGTATAATACTAGCAGACTACAGTGTGCCGTGCCGGCCCGAATTCCGTCTAGTCCAAACGCCTGGTCTTAATTTACGTCAACTATTGGCCAATGGCACGCTAGCTGTTTTTTGACGTCAAGCAGCAAACGCCTGCTGCTCCGAAGAAAGTGAGCACGGGCCTCTGTATTCGGAAAAGTGGCGCCTGAGAGAATAGTAACTACGCGCTTTGCTTGTAACACTCCTTTCCGTGCATGACAACACGATTTGGCTGAACTGGCCATAGCAGAGTCTGCTTTTCATGGGATGTGTTTTGTAACGAAGTTCGGGGTGCTGCATGAGGCATTCGTTAAGTGCGGCCTTATTTATCTAAAAGAAAAGCAGTAGCCGGAGAACGATAGAAGCCTGCGATGAAATTTTAGTAAACACACGTTGCGCGGGAACTGGCGTTTCGACAAGCGGATCTGTCTTCTTAAAAAATTGAATAGTGGCTTGAGCTGCTGCAGCATTCAAGAAGGCACCAGGAATGCCGTGAGGGGTATTTTGAAAGGCGCCAATTTTTAAGTATTGATGTCATTTAAAAGTATTCATGTCATCTATGCACCAAATTATTCATGCCTTTTAGTCTATTTGCCTAATTTGTAGCTAAGTAAAGCAAAAAAAAATGATTGATTGATATGTGGTATTAAATTTGTACAATGTCTCAAACCACGATATGATTATAAGCGACGCCGTAGTGGAGGACTCTTAAAATTTCGACCACCTGGGGTTCTTTAGCGTGCACCCAAATCTGTGCACGCGGGCCTACAGCATTTCCGCCTCCATCAGAAATGCAGCCACCACAGCCGTTATTCGATCCCACAACCTTAAGGTTAGCAGCCGAGCAACTTAGCCACTATAGGCCACCAGGATGGGGCCCAAATAAAACAAGAATGCAATTATGAATGGAATGTTTAGTATTCATGAATAAGTAAAATATGTTGAATATGTAAAAACAGAACTTTGGAGGCAGCCAGAAAACAGCCATGGCGCCGACAAAAATTTTTCGTCGCCAAACGGGTGACGAAGTTTCCATTTGGCGCGAAGCACCCTCCAACGGCAACCCCGAAAGAAAAGTCCGCTTGAAGTAAAGTCAGCTACATCGCCACCGCTGTTCTCTGGTTCTCAACCCTATTTTGGTACTTAGGCGGAGGTAGTCGTACTCAGGCCAGGAAGAAACCGCAGGTACCACTATTTCTTTCCATAATGCAAGTGAAGCATTGAAGCCCCGGGCAGCCACAACGGAAGTGATGGATTTCAGCTGAACATCAAGAGACCACTGCCTACACCTCTGAGAAAATAGTCTCACGTCTATATAGAATACACACGAAAACAATGACGAAGAATTTATACAAGCTCGTCAAGGTACTGAGGCCAACGCAATCGCAACGTGGACGAAAAAGTTTAGCGAGAGCATTTCAGCCACTTATTTTGTACAAGATGTGCTCATGTGAAAAGCAAGGACTAATTGCCGTTCGGAACTAGCAACACCTCTCTTTCGTGCGACTAAATGAAACGTGGTAATGGCGACTTTATATCTAAAACACCATTCAACTCTGACAAGGTTATGCAGTAATTTACACGTTTGCTACAGCCACCACGTTAACACACTAGAAGTAACCGTTTCAGCCGGTGTATAATGCACAACACACAATTTTCATGTTAAGATTACAAAAAAAAATTACAAAGGACACCAAATCTCAGAGGTCGCTTTTAGTGCCTGAACTTTCGCGACACAGTGGGCGTAAGAACCATGTCTTTTTTGACACCTTGTGTTTGCACAAACCATACAACTTATGAGCGAAACCGCATTCAACAAGGTGCAGTAATACTACTCAGCCTTCTACGTTACTGACTTTAGCGTTGGCACCACTCAACAGGAACAAAACAGATTGATGAAATGAGTATGTAATAGAGAGGAAGAATATCGTATTTACAGTATGTACATAATGACATATGCGGAAGTGAAGTTTATATTAGCAATACAGAGGGTCTTCATTGGCACCGGCAATGCAGTCTGTTGACATAGTACTGCACTTTTTCAATGAAATGCAAGTGGTATGATGGTATGGGGTAGCGATGTCGTGCCAGAATGTACAAGCGAAGTTTAGGCTGTACGTGGAGAAATGCGATGACACGTTCCCCCTTAATTACCTTAAGCGTGTCATGCTCTCTAACACTTTTTTTTTCTTACCTCCGTCAGCACACTGTTTCTGGGACGCACTGTTAGCTCCCGCAATACCAATTTAGGGCTCGTGCAGTGCGCACGGTGCAAACGCATCCCCATTTGACACTTTGATAAAACCAGTTTCTTACATTGCTGTATCCTCTAGAAGTAGCGACGAGTTCACATGCCCACGCATGCGCACAAACAAAAAAACTCGGTTTTCTTCTTGAACATAGAACGCGAACGCGTCACAGCATCGAAATCTGGTCGTTGTGATCACAGTGAGGCCGTGTGTCAAGTTTGAACAAAGCAATGACGACCCCCTTTTGTTTTCGAACTCGTGGCAAGGATTCATGTCCTTTGGTTTCTGGCCTGGTGAGTTCACTATATACAGATGACGCAGCTGCTAGACACTGCAGCTTGCGACGTGTTTTCAGATGATACAATATACAGCCTCCAGCATGATAATGTATCGCGCGTGCGTCGACCGCAGGCAGTGTGAGCGCCTAGACGTGGAGTCGCGTGCGCCGGCGCACAAAGCAGCGCATTACAAGCTCCAGTGACGTCTGCCATACTGCTCTTTTTAGGACGAAACATTCGCTTTCTTTGTTATAAAGAAGCCCGAATTCTACACAATCGCAGACGGCTCACAAGATTGCCTTGCGCATCAACTTTGCGCCGTTCATTTCGCTGCGGTGGCAGGAAGGAAAGCAGTAACAATAAATGTTGGGTTTTACGTTCGCAAACCTCGACATGATTATGAGAGGTGTACGGGATTGGCTCGGGAGTTTCGGAAACAACCAGGATTCTTAAGCGAGCACCTAATCATAAGCACACAGACCTCTAGCAATTCAACTTTATTGCTGCCGCCGCGGCCAGGATTTCAACCTTTCGCTTCGGGGTCTTCATTTGAGCACCATAATTGCTACAGCACCGCATTGCGTTAACAGTAAAGATCAATAGACCGTGCATCGATAAATCACAGCTTTTCTTCACACACATTCTTTTGTTCGCACAACTATTGTTTTACTTCATGTCTTCTATAGCAGAGGGAAGAAATGGCAGATAAAGAGAGGCAGTGAGATTAACCTGTCCAAGGTAGCCGGTTGGCTACCGCGTACATACGAACGGAAGGCCTTGTGTAAGAGACTAATACAGGCATTACGACAAGGCGTGCATCGTACTGAAAGGAACAGCGTGGCAGAGGACACTTGCTCTAGCGTTGTTTAGTACGGTTGTGCGTACTGCCGGTATCCCAGATTATGCAATGGATTATCGCCGATGCAAGGCGCTGGTATCGCACGTGGTCGACGCTCGCGCGATGTACATAAAATTGTTGGAGGCAGTTACACATCCACAGCGGCGGTTATAACGAATCTTCGACTCGGAGTCTCGTGTGCTGACGTCTCTTCCACTTTGACTTCCCAGATGCCGATGTCGTCGACAGCAGTGGCGTCGTCGACTTGCCACTGGAGTTTGTTCTGCGCGCGCCAATAGCACCTGCCTGCCCGTAGCCAGTAGAAAAAGTCTTCATCTCTTCCAGCATGGGCTCGCACACCTGCAATGGGGAGGGGGGGGGAGGGGGATACACAAGAATAAAAAAGGCACATTAGTGCATAAAATAGCATAAGCTGGCGTTTAGCCTTTAAGCTACAACCCCTGTGAGAAAAAAAAATAAAGTCAACGTTTCGCCCCAAAGCGAAGCAAAGAGATGCCAGCAAGTTGAAATGGTACACTTAGCAAGGTTAGTAGCTAACTCCCATTGGATCAAATGTGGCGTAACTCTGTATTCAAAGCACTGGTGAAAGGGAATACGGCAGCTCTAACGAGCGAAGTGACTTTCGTTCTGCCATCGCTTCGGCATGACGGAACAGTGCAGCATATGTAGAAGTATTGGCTGTCTGCTGACACCCGCTAGAATTATAGGGTGCGCACGACTACGAGTTACAGCGCCCTACTCGTATAAGAAAGCATCGCGACAATAGGCTGGGGAGGGGAACCATCTGTGACAGCTCTCGCCAGCGGCGCAACGTTATCGCATGCGCCCTTCGCGCGATAGAAATAACCGGCTTGTTTGATCTCTGCTTCAGTCGAGTTCATCGCTAGCGCTTTTGGGCTTTCAATAGCGCCTAGAAGACAGGAACATCGATACTGACTTTCAGTGCAACCTTACGGCAATATCAAAAAGCCCCCAAGAGTCTGCATATAAATCGTATCTCAATAATTGCGGCCAGCAGGCGCGGAACACACCGCACTGTCACATTAAAAGAAATGGCAGCATATCTACGGAGTGAATGATGGAGAGTGGGGCGAAGCATTCGCCCGTCCATTCGTTCTTGCTCCCATTCGTTCATGCGTCCGTCTGTGTGACCGTCCATGCGTCCATCGACCCGTCCGTGCGTGCGTCTGTTCGTGCGTCCATCCCTGCGTTCCTCCAAGCATCCGTCCCTGCGTCCTTTCAAGCGTCCATCCATGCATCTGTCTGCGTGTCCGTTCGTCCATCTATTCAACACTCCAAGTACCACCATCTCGCATCTTTTCATCATATATTCCCCATATAGAAGCACCGCCATCCAGCGGACATTCCAAGGAATAAACGAGAGAGAGGTGGCACACGCATACTTTCTTACGGCTTGCGCTTCGGGTCTACTTCCCACCTTTAACCACCTAGAGTTCATGGTATATACTACTTCACTGTATATATAGGACTGCGGCCCAATGCTCGCTAAACCTCTCTAAAACCAAGGAGGTTACGTCCAGCGAGTATAACGTAGCAACATTTTCCTGTGAGATAGTGCTCAATGTACATGCCAATGACTGCTAATTGGAAATGAGAGACAGGAGAATTCGGCTTTTACTTTCTTACGGCTTGCGCTTCGTATCTACTTCCCACCTTTAACCACGTCGAGTTCATGGTATATACTAGTTCATTGTATTCATGGCACTACGACTAAACGCTCGCTAAAACTTTCTAAAACTAAGGAGGTTTCACTCATCGAGTATAACGTAGCAACCTTTTCTGGCAGATAGTGCTTAATGTGCATGCCAATGGCTGCTAATGGGGAATAAGGGACAGGAGCAATCGGCTTTTAGTTAACTCGCACGCCGCGAACTTTTTAATTTTCAATAAAGCACAGGAGAAATCTTACACCGACACCACCTTGCAGGTCAATATGTAACACTGGTTACGCACTACGACTACGACTACGACTACGAGGGACGAACGGGTGCCGCTTTAAGGAGCTTCGCTCCGAAAACTCGAGGAGTGACATTTTGAAAGCCCATTGCGAACTCTCTAGGTGAACAATTGCAAGTACAGTTGCGAAGTACCAACGAAGCCATCAATTGATATAATTTTGCGAAATAGAGATGTACGCACTATGCCATAATTCGTCATCCTCACAATAGCGAGGCACCCACTTCGCGTCTGTAAGGCACCAAGCTCACTTACGTAGCTTCAAACTTTGTGAATGCTTTGGCTGATGACGAAGCAGAAAAACGGCTGGGCTACTTGTAATGGGTTGGGAGTTTTTAACAGCCATGCTGTTGTGGCCAATCATTTCATGTCCGGTGACCATCGTAGATTGTAGTGATATTTACTCAGAAAAGTGAGTATATGCCGCTGCGGATGTGTGCCACTCGACCCACCACTCCCACTGCTCACTATTCCCACAACTCACCACTACACTACTCCCTCAAACCACTGCCACTGCTCGATGCTATCACAACTCACCACTGCGCCCACTACTGCCCCCAAAAACTACCACTGCTCACTATTACACCAACTCGCCACTACGCCCACTCCTTCCTCCGACCACATCTACTGCTCACCACTAGGTCCACTAATCCTCCAACCACTACTACTGCCCACTACTAAAGCAACTGAACAGTAGGTCCACTACTGCCTCCAACTACTACCACAACTCACCACTACACCCACCGCTCACTCTAGCCACTACTACAGCTCACTGCTACCACAACTCTCCACTGGGCTCACTACTTCCTCTAACAACTACTACTGCTCACCACTAGGTCCACTACACCTTCCTACCACTACTACAGCTCACTACTACCAACACTGAACAATAGGTCCACTACTCCCTCCAATTACTAGCACTGCTCACTACTACTCAACTCACCACTATGCTCACTACTTCCTCCAACCACAACTACTGCTAACTTCTACCACAACTGAACAATAGGTCCACTACTCCCTCCAACTACTACAACTGCTCACTGCTACCAAAACTCACCACTACGCCCACTACTACTGCTCACTACTCCGTCAACTCATCAGTAGGTTCACTACTCCCCCAAACGTTTACTACTGCTCACTACTACTGCAACTGACCAATAGACTACTACTCCGTCCAACGACTACCACTGCTCATTACTACCCTAACTCACCACCAAGCCCACTACTTCCTCACCAGTAGGGTCACTACTCCCTCCAACCTTTACTACTGCTCACTACTACCACAACTGACCAATAGACCTACTACTCCATCCAACGACTACTACTGCTTATTACTACCCCAACTCACCACCACGCCCACTACTTCCTCTAACTACAACTACTGCTTACTACTCCCTAAACACATCACTAGGCCCACTAATCCTCCAACCACTACCGCTGCTTACTTCACCACTCCTCCAACTACTTCCTCCGACCACTGCTACTGAATACTAATTTTTCCACTCAAAACTCGGCCCACTACTCTCTTCAAACACTAGCATTGCTTACTACTACATCAACTCACCGCAGCGCCCACTATTTTCTCCAACTACTACTACTGAACAGTACTACCTCAACTCACCACTCGGCCCACTACCACTGCTCACTACTCCCACCATTGAACAATAAGCCTAATACATCAGCCACTGTCACTGCTTCCCCAACTCACCACTGGGTCCACTATTGCTTCGGCTGCTTCCCAACTTCACTCGCCTACTTCGTGCCGCGTCAATCTCACTTCATTTCCACTTCGTTCAAGCCTACTGTGCACCACGAGCTTCCGTGTGTCATCAGTGTCCGCCAAGCGAAGGAGGCTGAAATTTTCAAGAACCCTCTTTATGCGCTATTCAAATTGTGTGACGTCTGGTGTAACTTTACTCTTCTGCCACGCAATATTACATTAGTTACCGTGACTGCTCACCCAACATGACTCACCCAACATAGGTTTGTTTCGCAAAATAATTTCAAGCAATTACGGGGTCGTGTAGTAGAATACGCGACTTCCGCACAGAGTCCCTGAGTTTCTGTAGTCCACGTTTCCAAAAAAATATAAACTGTGGTAAGGGGTGCATAGCTTCGCGCACCATTAAAGGATAGGGCAGGGTTCGAGGACTGTCACTTAGAAAATAATCAGCTATAGCCACTCAGCTTTTTTTCGATAAATCCAGAAGAAAGGGGAGACCCTCACAGCGTGATGTGATGCCATATCAAGGATACAAAAGCAGTGAGTTGATAAGGCATCGAGAAACTGAGAAAATCCTACTTTGCAGCGTCCTATCGATGTAAATTTTGTGAAACGCGCGTCAGCCTGTAATAGCAAACAGCATCAGAAATTTGTCACAGCCAGTAGTACGACTGTACTCTCGAAGCGTTCACGCTGCAGTGTGTAGACCTTTTTATTCAAGGCGATCTGGGTGCCATCATAATCCTCTCTGGGCTGTTGTTAGCGCGAGTGACCCTCCAAGAGATGCAATGCCGAAGCTGTGACGTTGGCTTTCGTACTCTTCTGCAGCAGCCCAGACTGGAGGAAATTTCTTTCCCCGTAAAAAAGGCCCATACAGTAGACCACTGGCGCACTGACTGATACACAACTACCTACAGCTAGGGTTCTCTGGCCATACGTGCAAGAATCACCGTCACGCTAGAGTTTTATAACGATCTTTACCCCGCAACGGTTATATCTCCACGTATTAAAAACCATACGCCGGACTCCTAAACCACAAATAGACGCTCGCGTGCTCATCTGTTAGCAGATGCATGCGCTGTTGCGTTTGGCGGGTCACCCTTTTGCCGTGGCCACTGGAAGGGAAGAAAGGCAGCCGCCTCGTTTTGTGGAGATAAGGAGCAGCGCCAAGACGCTCTGCTGTTTCCGTGTACAGGGCGCTGTGTGGCTGAATTTACTCTACGGAGCACCACTGTCCTTCGGGTTCGCGCCTAGATGTGACACGTGACGTCTTTGTGCCCCTGTAAAGGCCACAATGCCAGGCCTCCGCCGATAACGGACGTCGGACCATCACGCTGTGCGTCTCTGACTGATGGGCCGCCGACGCTCAAATCAACACCAGATGTCCAGGAACGGCCCTTCGGAAGCGCCTGGACCGCGACTGCTGTACGACAAAGCATGGATGGTCATCCCGAGCGGCGAGATGACAGACTCGTTTCAGCCGCTCGAGCGAGATTCGCTGGAGGAGGCAGCATCACCGGGACCATAAACGTGTTTGGTTTGTGTATTTGTGTATGTGTATGTTGGGGGAAGTGCCAGCATAATAACACTTGTGTATGCTGTGGGACATTTTATTGGAGAGTGCCATATGAACCTGTTT